CAAGAAGATGTTAATGGAGTTGAGTGTGCTGTATTTTATTTGAGTTGATTGTTGTTTGATATTGAAACTCGATACAGTGCGATCGAGAAGTTGACTTTGTGTCTTTATTATTCGTGTTGTAATATACTTGAAATGATGAGATGGGAATTAAGGTAGGGGAAGATGTAACTTTCAATCTTGATTTTTTTTCTGAACAAAGGAGGAGAATGATCAAAATACAAATCAAGAATATGGATGAGTTAGAAAATTTAAACATAATTGAATTCAAAGACTGGGCATGTGCTACTGTAGTGGGCTCGAAAACCTCTTCTTCAGGATAAAAAAAATTTGGTAGAAGAAAAGACTACAAAGAGAACATGTTGAATACGGAGGAAATAATCTCACCAAAAGGCATATTAGTTAGAATGGACACGAGATCAATATGGGTAAGCCAATGTGACAAGTCCATTTATGATAAATAAAGATAACAATGATAGGATAATTTTTAGATGGTAATAGATTTGTTTACTATTTTGGGATATAAAATTTCATGGTCTGATCTAAATTCTCGAACCCATTTAGGGTGAGTTAAAGGTTTATAGATTCCAAAAGGGGCATAAGGAAATGTTGGTAGGACAAAATCTCTCAAAGGGAGTTGTGCTTAAAGGATTTATCTTTTGCCTATAATCTTGATTTTGGTAAACTTTGTCTCGTAAGGAAAACACTATATTCCTAAAATTGGATTTTAATTGAAGAGGATCATAACATTCTTGATAAAAATTCTCGAACTTTATGATTTGAAGATAATGTTTATATTTACCTTTCTTGGCCTTTTATTTGTCTTGTACCACAAATTCAAGGTGAACATGCAATCAAGCTTTTATGATAGCGAATGTAAAGTCCCTCATGGAGAACCACTGATCCTACCATGTGTAAAACTCGAAGGTGCTAAGAAAATTGGACTCGAACGAGACATGGTGAAATTCAATTGGCTGTAAGAGAGTCAATCAAAGGAGTTCCTCTCTTAGGCTCAATTCATTGTAGGAAATTGATATGAATCACAAGGGGTAATTTAGGATCTTTAAGGTTAGAACCTTGTAAGAAATTTAGGAATTAGGAAGAAGGTGGAAGGAAATAATCACTCTTCATAAGGGAGGCAACACACAAAGGATGTGAAAGTCCTTTGATACAACCAAGGGTTCTTGAATCACTCAAGAATTTGGGAGAATCACTCTCACTAAGATAAAAAAGATAAACTCTAATATTTCTGAATAAAACTTCACTTGTTATTTCTTGATAAAAATGGTTTAGCTGATATAGAAGCATTGACATCGAATTACAAAAGACTCAATAAAAGAAAATAAATACTAATAATAACTCATTAATCTAGGAATTGAAAACTATTTAATGAAAACAAATAAAGGCTAATAATGATCCATTAACCTAAGAATTGAAACTACTTAATGACTTATTGTATCTGAAACTGTGGCAACCAAAATTCAATCAGTTATGCACCCCTTGGTCTCCTAAAGGCTGATGACTAAATTTTCAATTGGGCCCTTATTACAACTTAAAACAAAATTAAACTAAAGCTCATTAATTGATTAATTCAAAACATAATTTGGTCAACCAACAATATTTGTTGAAGAACTTCCTTTATTTCCCTTACTTTAGCCCTTATCATAGGTCATGTTCACATCAGAAATACCTCGTGGAATGAGTCGATAAAATCGAGAAGTGAGAAATCCTTGGCTCAAACTGAATTGACGAAAAAAATGTTGAGAGACATATGGGAAGAATTTCACATCTTTCATTTGGAAGCTAGTTACCAATATGTCCCACATCAGAAATCCACTCCAAACTTTAATCAATTCAACTTGTAATCCCGGATGTTGGAGGTTTCAATTTGAGCCATAATTGGCCTCGAAAGCGATGGACAAAGCTGCAATTTTGGTGAAAGGGACAAGAATGATATCAAAGTCTTGTCGTGATAACAAGAATCTTAGGTAGGTTTTGTATATGGTTGAATCAGGCTTGTAGTGTTTGGGGTGTGGAGTGGTTAACCTGGCACCTTCGATTGGATATGAGGGAATTGGTGTTGAGGTAACTTCTAGTGCTGGAAAATGGGATTTAAAAATGGATACGAACCAAAGTTGAATAAACCATAGTAGTCCAGAGTGGTTGCCACCAAGGTTATTCGATCGAAAGGCATTTACTGCTTCACAAAAAGTAGCATATACATGGGCTAACAACAATTTAGCCAAACATATGTTTGGTGACCCTCGATGTAGTAGGTAGGCTTGATTAAAGTAATGTTGAGAGATTTGGATTGATCGGGGGTAGATAACTGGTTTACATAACTAATACATAAGGAAGACAATGTACTCTTCATCAAAACAACAACATTGTGATCATTGATGATGTGCTATTGTAAGAAGCAACCATAAGCTTTCTTATTCCATCAGATTTTAGGCTCGATCTCCTTGTTAACAGGAAAACATTTATGTAATATTTTTCTCCAACAGGCTTAAGACCTATTATAGCAACCACCTCAAGGACAGTTGGAGTAAATAGGTGGCACGAAAGCTCCAAAGCATAAAGATCTTTGTTCCAAAATTGTGTTGCCGAAAGGAACATCAACATATCAAAATAACCTATGTTGAATCGAGACAGGTAAAGTAAATCGAAGATGCCGATTTTCTTCCAATATGCCTTAAACTTGGGACTGTACCTTATCAAGCCATTTAAGGTAGGATGATTTCTTCTAGGGTGGCCTAGAACGATAAAATTTGGATGATTAGGATATAAAATCTTTTTAAACTTCCCTTATTTTTCTTGTAAAATAGATTTTCCTTCTTTAGATGAAAGAAAATTCTTAGGCTCATTTGGGTATATGATCAGAGGCCCCTCAAAGGCATATGAGTACCTAGGTCGAGTAAATTTACTATGGTTCCTATTATAGGCCAAGAACCAGGGCAAAGGTCTTGTTGTTGATTTCATCAAACTGTAAAGAAATAGGGTTGAGGTTGGAAATTTGAGAAGTAACTAAGGAAGAGGCCATAATGCTTTAAATAGGGGAAGAAAGTTGGTGAAAATAGATTGCTTAACAGAACTTAAAGGGAAGTAAGGATGTTTGGAAGTTTAGAAGACTAAGGATTAAGAGATTTTGAGAACGAATATGAAGTAATGAAGAATATGAAATAATTTAAAGTTTAAAGAGGACAAATTCTCAAAAAACCTAAATAGTAAATGGGTTTTTGTATTGGCTCATATCTAGCCATGCAATATTTTAACTTAATATTAAAAGTGGATGATAATAGAAGAAATAACATTTATTATGAGAATTTAGCATTTATGAGGGGAATAAGGTGCAATGATGAAAGCATGGGTGGTGTAACTTTTAGTTGTATTGAAGCAAATTAAGAAATTGAAATATTAGAATAATTTGTATTGCAATTGAAAATAAGAGAAATGTACATTCATCGATATTCATGTTACATTCTATTTGGGGTCATTTTTGTTAGTAACAAATTTACAAATGTATTGAAAAGAATAAATTGAGAAGTATGAGAAGTCTCGAGAAAAGAATGATAGTGGAAGAATGAAATTGAAGTTGATAAGGGTTGAATATTGAGATTAAAAGAGTAAGTTAAGAGGAAGAATAATCTAAGAGAGCAATAAATTGGAATGTATAGATCAAAAGTATAAGCTAAAATTAATGTTGATGATCAGTAAATGCTCGAAGGTGCATATTATCGAGAGGAAAGATCGAGTTGAACAAATAAGAAGTCAATTGATGGTATGACACAATCAATTAAATATTTGGAATCGAAAAATTGAGAATGTCAATTCAGGAGTTGCAAATTGAGAGAAACAAGATATGGAGAAGGAGATATGCAATTGAGAGATATGCAAAAATGGTTATAGTTTTGATTACGTGACATGTACGCTTATAGATATTAAATTACAATAAAATGACTCAAGAAAATAGGGGAATAGTTATGGGGAAGTAACTCGTTTATTGATTTTATTTTATTTCTCGTATTTTATTTACTTCATCTTATTTTATTTTTATTTTAAGTGTCTTAACGGTTACACAAGAAAAATATAAATAGAGTAAAATAAATATAGAAAAGGGTAATTATCAAATTATAAGAAGACTTACATTTTGAAAAAGCGTCACAAATACTGGAATAAACATTTTCAATAAAGTTCTTTGTAATTTGGATCGTCATTTTTATTGATTTTTTTATTAATTTTTGTTTTATCCTTGTTAATAAGTTATATTTATCTTTCTATATAACTTATTTTCTTAATTTACTTTCATTGTACTTCTATTTTCATAATTTACTTCAAATATTACAACTTATATTAAAAATCTAAATTATAAATAAAAAATTATTAATTAAATTTTATTTTATTTTAATTATTAAATAATTAGTGTTAACTATATCAAAATCCTCTAAATTTGAAAATGTCTATCCTTGCTAATAAAAAAAAATCCAAGTAATATTTGAATGTTTCATTAGGAATTTAATTAAGAAAACTATTAATCAAATCATAAAAAAAATAATTAAATACTTTTATATATAATTATAATAATTTTATAATTTATTTAATAAAAATATTAATTAATAATATTTTTATATAATTAAAAATATATATTTAAAATATACATATAAAATATTTTATATAAAAAAATATTAACAAATTGTAGTTAGTCGAGACCAGTTTGTCGCTCCTCGTTTTTAACATACTAGTGACGAAGGGGTAAAACTGGACTTCTTTATATTTTATCATCCTAAATATTTCAAATTTATGATATTTATGTAAAATTGAAAAAGTATTAGTCTAATTTAATAAAATCTTGTCCATGTTCTCATAATTTTGAATATTTTAAAATTTATTATTAAATTAAAATTTATGTTTATATAAAAATATATAAAAAAGTTTACTTTAATTAAAACATATTAATTATTTGCTGTTGCAGCAGTGAATCCCAGTATGCAAAGTTGCAGCAGATGAGTAATCAACAGGCTACAGTCTCTGAGCAGCCAAGTAGCCAAGGAAATCGTAGTAAACAAAAACCATTTGGCCTTTTGCTACCCATCTTACTTCGTCAACTTGCCAAAGACAGAGCCATGCAACTTCAAACGTTATTTGCTAAATTGAAGGTAGGTTTTCCAAACCAGTCTAGCTAGCAGGTCCTTTGGCCCTCACCCTTTTTATGCCAAGTTTTAGTCTTTGTGATGATAGTATAGGACCATCTTGTGAACTTATATTACATGTTAGTATGCTACTAATTTTGTATTTCATCAATTTTTGTTTTCATTCTAGAAAGGTGAAATACCGAAAGACAGCTTTGTGCGGCTTTTGAAAGGTATCGTAGGGGACCAGATGCTTAGATTAGCATTAGCAGAAGTACAAATGCGGCAACCACAGGTAGTAATAGAACATGGTTTGTATTTAGGGTGGTTTTTATTAATCTAGTTAAATATTGATGTCATGGTCATTCCAAAATTCATTTTTGATACTACTACAGGCAAGGCCCAATCAAGCATCTGCTGGGCAGCAGCTCCCTCTAAGGATGTCAACTGTTAGTTCAGGTGCAAGGCAATTGAATGATCCCCATGCTTTAGCACAGATGCACCAAAGAAGTATGAATGTTGCTGTTGACCAATCTCGCATGAGTTCTTCAGCTGGTCAAACTACAGAGAGCAATGCTAGAAAGCCTCAGGAATTCGATGTTAAAATAGAATCTCAAGGATTGCAATCAAATCAGTTGACATCTTCCAGTTCCAACACAGTTGGTCAAGAAGCAGAAAGAACATCAGTTCATATACAAGGGCTTAATAAACAGCAGCAACACCATCTACATTTTGCATCAGCATATGGAAACAGTGGTGGTAACTATAACCCTTTTTCTGGGACAACAAGTAGTTCCACATCATCTATCAAACAGCAAACGCATGAATCACATAATCAAATTCCTCATCAAAACATTGGTTCAAATCATTTAGGTGGTTCAGCACATGGTTTGAGTGTAATTTGTGTGCCAAAACTTGAACAGCAGAATTCTTTCAATGATCCCAAAAGACTGCCAGGTGGATCTGTTTCTCCTGCTGTAAACGATACAGCATCTCAGCAAACGTCGAATGCTTGGCAACCATCTACAAACAAAGAACAAAATCTGGGCTTAATGTCATCTGTTTCTTATGTCAAAAAGGAACCTACTGACTTGTCTACTGAGCAGCAAAATAGGCATAATTTGTCTAAATTGCATGGGTATTCTTCTGTTAATTCTGCTCAGCTTGAACAGAGTGGTGCTACTCAAGGAACTCTAAAAGATGAATTTTCGAGAGGTCTTCCAGCATCCACAAGCATGCCACCTACAACATCTACTGGCTTGCTAGCACATGGTTCTGCTTCCTCTTCTGTAATCACCCACCTAGACTCCAGTGTCTCGGTAAGTTGGAGACTGTTGTACATGATCTTGTCCAAAGATATAATGGTAAATTTTGCAGATCATGTAATGGGCAAATATGTTTTTGTTCTCATGGTCACAATGCATCTAGTATTATGTTATTCTGAATGTATATATGAAACGTCAGTTCTCTCAGCTCAGATATGTTTTCCAGAAATTTATTATATTAAAATGCTTTTAGCAAAGAACCCTTTTCGCTAATAGTTCTGGGAACACTTTTGCAATGAAGTTGCAAAAGATAGTAATCATTGTCTTTTATTTGGGATGGCTTATTTACTGTACTTTTAGATAGAACAAAGAATGCAAGAACTAATTTAAACAACTCTGAAACTCTTCATTGTCAATAAAAATAATAATAAAGCAGCAAGTTTCCAAGTTGAGGAATGAGACATTTTATCCCTCCTCACCAATTTATGCACCCCACTTCTCCCCATAAATATGTAATCCGAAGAACCAAGCTGGAAGTAAAGTGGGATATTAGCACCCATAAATGGAAAACCAAAAATCTCCTATTCATTAAGCAAAATTATTGATTAGTAAATGAGAATCCTGATTGAAATCATCTTCATTCTGTACTTTATGTGTAACCAGCTCACTCACATTTATAAATATGTAGTGCCTCTATAAATGGTGAAGCTCTTGTCAGTTCGTCGTACAAAGGTCAAACTGTTTTTCAACTCTAAATGGCATCCATAAATTGAGAGTTTGACACAGGATGTACCAATGCAAAACAAACCAACACTAAAAGATAAAATTGTCCTATTTTGTTTTAATTAACTATAATTGTGGGGCTGACTAATAATATTCTTTGTTATCATTACTAGATCTTCGTATCTGAGATTTGTTAGGAATACTAAGCTGTTACTCAGTTAATTTCATTAGTTCCATCCTAGGGATGTTTTTATGTTCATTTGGTCTTAGGTTTATGTTCATGTCTTTTTCGTTATATGAAAGACACAAAACGATATTTTTGGAAGCTCTACTGTCTGTGCACATTTTAACACGAAAAATTATTCAAACTGAACTAAAGATGATCCCATGCTCTGCTCATTCATTTTTATTCTAGTTTACTCATTCCAGGCTCAAGCTAAAGTCATGAGCTACTTGATTCCACACAATGAGCTCAATTGGGTTAAGGCAATTGAACTCACAAAATTTAATGAGCCAAATGGGCTTTAGAAGGAGTTTCAGATTGCATATAACTCACTCAATATATTTAATATACTACTGTAATGCAACCAACAACACTCATGAATAAAAAATTATTAGTTAATGCTTTGTGAATCATTTATGTTCTTTTCCTTATGATTTGAGATTTTGTGTGACATGGTATCAAATCATGTATGACCAAGTCGTCCTGAGTTTGATTAGTGGTGTCCGTAGTCTTTTAAATAATAAGGCTAAATTTTAGCGCAAGGTATGGTAATGCTTGAGCATTATTAACGTGTCAAGCATGGAAACTTTTACATGAGGGGTCATTTAGATATAAAGCCATTCATGTACTTTTACATAACAACTTAAGCTTTGTCCATAGTTGGTTTATGGAAAATAATTTATTTGATAAATATATATGTTCTGAAGATGATGTTATGTCAGTTCATGAGCAAATGAGTCGAGCAATAAGTGGCTTATGCTTAGATCATATTTTAAACTAACCATATATTTTAGCTCATGCTCCATTCATTAGATCCTAAGGTTAACGTATTGAACTAAATCTGAGTTGAATCATGAGCGGCATGTAAGTGGATAGGTTCATTGTAATCCTTGATTGCTTTAATTTGCACTGTTAGACCCATCAGCCTCGATTTCCAATTTTACCAGCGTTGAGGTTTAACTCTTTAGGCAATTGAATGCAAAATATCTCACCTCAACATATAGGGTGTGTTAGAAACCTTTGATTCACTAGTTTTCTTATGCAAGTTTATGAGGTATCTCACAGATGTATTGAACATTGCAATTGAGAATAACTTGGATATAATGTCTGTGTTTGTTTTTTCTTTTGATGTCCCTGTGCTCCCAATTTGTCTGTTTAGCAGAATCTATTATTGGGAAATACTAACTTGGTCATGCTTTCTCTATGCATTTTTTTTAATTTAAATACCCAGATATTATTTTTGCGCAGAGCATACCCCATGTTCATAAATTTGTCTTCAAATTTGTTGACTCTTAATTTCCTAAGCCCACTTCTGAAATTGATCAGCTAAGCTCTCAGATTCAATCAAATGCTTCTGGAATTGTTGCAAGGACACCTCTTAAAAAGTCTGCTGTTACCCAAAAGAATCCACTTGAAGCACTTGGTTCCTCACCTCCTCCTCCTAGGTCCATGTCTTACTCTACCGAATCATTCATGAATGACTTATTTTATGGGTTAATTTCTTAAATTCTAAATAATTTCAATATATTCATAATGTTCCTTTGCCCTACAGTAAAAAAACAAAAAACTTCTGGGGGATACGTCGAACAAAGCGTTGAACAACTTAATGATGTTACTGCTGTTAGTGGAGTTGACCTCAGGGTATGATACTACGTCAATGTTCAACTAAATCCGATAGTCAATAAGTAGGGAATGATGACTCCCTGACTTCTAATGTTTCTTTTACAGGAAGAGGAAGAACAGTTTATTTTCAGAGCCCAAAGAGGATAGTCGAGTGTCAGAAGCTTCTCGAAAGGCTGTGCAAGAAGAAGAGGAAAGGCTGATCTTGCAGAAAGCTCCATTGCAAAAAAATTAATTGACATCAGTTAGAGTCCAACCTGTGTCATACCTCTGTCCATATGTTTTAGTTCTTTCATTTTTAGCTGGATCTTGATATGTGATAAAACCTTATGGCTACTTTATGTTGTCACTGTGGCAGTGTCCAAGTGTGGCTTGAAGGGTATGGGCAATGATGTGGAGAAATGCTTGTAACTGGTGAGTCTCAAGAAATGTTTGACTTTATCGTGCAATTGGTTTACATGTAATCTTATGACTGAGTAAATGTTCAGAGTGTGGAGGAAAGGATGCGTGGACTGATAAGTAACCTGATTAGAATATCAAAGCAGGTCAGTTGTTTTCTCTAGCTACTTGCACAAATAGTCTTTCATAATTGCATAAAACTTTTCGATATGTTGAGGCATTAGGAACTTATGAATGATTAATTATACCATTTGGCTTAAAAAATGTTGATACAAAATATTAAAGAGTTATGAATTTAATTTTTCATGATTTAATTAGAGATTTTATGTAAGTTTATATTGATGATATTATAATTAAATATGAATTGAAAGAATTTCATCTTGACAAATTAAACAAACTTTGGAGAGAATAAGACATCATAATTTGAAAATAAATTCTTTAAAATGTGCTTTTGAAGTAAATGCAGGAGAATTTTTTAGATTTATTGTTCATAAAAAAGGATTTGAGAAAGATAAAAATAAAGTTAAAGCAATAATCGAGACTATTACTCCAAGAAATAAAAAAGTGTTTCAGTTTTTATTGGGTAAAATTAATTATTTGAGAATGTTTATTTAAATTTGACAAGTAAAACATATGTTTTCTCTTTATTGTTGAGATTAGAAAAGGAGGGTGACTTTGTATGGAATGGATCATCAAGAAGCCTTTGATGTTATAAAAAAAGCATTGAGTAATTCACTCGTACTTATTCCTATCAATTGAAGAAGACTTTTGAAGTTGTATGTTTTGACATTAGAGAATAATAACAAGCATGTTGGCTCAAAAAGATGTTAATGGAGTTGAGTGTGCTGTATATTATTTGAGTTGATTGTTGTTTGATATTGAAACTCAATACAATGCGATCGAGAAGTTGGCTTTGTGTATTTATTATTCGTGTTGTAATATACTTGAGATGATGAGATGGGAATTAAGGTAGGGGAAGATGTAACTTTCAATCTTGATTTTTTGTTCTGAACAAAGGAGGAGAATGATCAAAATACAAATCAAGAATATGGATGAGTTAGAAAATTTAAACATAATTGAATTCAAAATAGTCGATTTTACCAGATGAGGAGCTAGACTGTGAGCCTCCCTTTTCTTTTGGACTTTGAAATAAGACTGGGCATGTGTTACTGTAGTGGGCTCAAAAACCTCTTCTTGAGGATAAAAAAATTTGGTAGAAGAAAAGACTATAAAGAGAATATGTTGAATACGGAGGAAATAATCGACCAAAGGGCATATTAGTTAGAATGGACACGAGATCAATATGGGTAAGCCAATGTGACAAGTCCATTTCTGATAAACAAAGATAACAATGATAGGATAATTTTTAGATGGTAATAATCTAAATTCTCGAACCCATTTAGGGTGAGTTAAAGGTTTAGAGATTTCAAAAGAAAAGGTTGGTAGGACAAAATCTCTCAAAGGGAGTTGTGCTTAAAGGATTTATGGTTTGCCTATAATCTTGATTTTGGTAAACTTTGTCTCGTAAGGAAAACATTATATTCCTAAAATTGGATTTTAATTGAAGAGGATCATAACATTCTTGATAAAAATTCTCGAACTTTATAATTTGAAGATAATGTTTATATTTACCTTTCTTGGCCTTTTATTTGTCCTGTACCACAAATTCAGGGTGAACATGCAATCAAGCTTTTATGATAGCGAATGTAAACTCCCTCATAGAGAACCACTGATCATACCATGTGTAAAACTCGAAGGTGCTAAGAAAATTGGACTCGAACGAGGCATGGTGAAATTCAATTGGCTATAAGAGAGTCAATCAAAGGAGTTCCTCTCTTAGGCTCAATTCATTGTAGGAAATATCTCGTGGAATGAGTCAATAAAATCGAGAAGTGAGAAATCCTTAGCTCAAACTGAATTGACGAAAAAAATGTTGAGAGACATATGGAAACAATTTCACATCTTTAATTGGAAGCTAGTTACTGTGACACCTTTAATACCAACATTTACTTTATTATGATTTATTACTTATTATTGGTTCCGCTTAGTATTTGATTACCAATACACTCTTCTAGAAGTAAGGTACACATTAAATAGAACATACACTTAGTGATTAATATACATATCATTCATAAGTACAAAGTATAACCAGATAGTAAATATACACAAAGTCATCCCAAAATACACCTAACAAGGGTTCACAAGACTAGAGCAGACAAACAAACTATACAACCTAACTAAAGAGGAGATATATTTCGTACGTCCACTAAGATGAAGTATCTCTTGTAGCACTGTAGTGGTATCCGATCAAGTCCTCTACTTAGTACTTGTAGTGATCGTATTTAAACTTTACTTGGAGTTGATACCAGGGATGAGTTGTGTTCAACATCACCTATGCAAACATTTCATAACAATAATACATGGACAGAAAGGGTAAGACAACTTTATATTCACTTAGAGCATGCAAATAACATTGAATTAATTAGAAATTACACATACAAACATACTAGTAATCAGCACACAAATGATATGATATTATGAATGCAATGTATGCACTAATCTTTTCTAGGACATATCCTAGTATGCAAGACCATGGGGATCCCAAAATCACTTTCTCTTTTTGTATTTTTTTTTTCGAGAAGGATCAGGAGTTTCACTGGAACCTCTCACCGCCTCGCGGTAGTATACTCATAATTATTTGTCCAGCTCAACTGATCATGAGAAACCCTGGGGCTTTAGTCAGGATAATCAAGCTTGGTAGTGAGAGTCTCACAGCTTAGGTAGCGAGCCTGAGCCACATATGAGCTCGATCACACTCAATCATCCCCGAGGTTAGCATGGATCCGACCCTGATTTTCCATATCCTCCTCATACACTCACTCTGACTCATGAACATGATGCATGACTTATCATAACTTCTTCACACTCTTTCAACTTTGTTTCACCTCATTATACTTAAATCACATCTTAACTTCTTCAAAAACAATACTAGGCTATTTTTTAAAAAAAATATGGCAGAGTTTTCCCTGTAAATCGGACATTCCCAAAAAATTTTAACACCTGCAAAATAATCAAAAACAACCCAGAACACTTCTACTTTTCACCAAACCATCATTCCACCTCATCATATTCATCATCACCCAAAATCATAATTTTCTCAATTTTAATTTATTTTTCTTAAATAATGATAATAATTGCAAATAATTTCCTCAAAATTATTAAAAATTCATTTTCACTTACAATTAATTGTTTTCTCCTAAATCAAAATTATTCCAATACTTTTGAAAAATATTTATTAATTAAATAAAAATATAAAAATTCAATTTAATATATCTAAAAAATAGTTTTCTTTCTCACATAGTTCATTTCTCACACCTTTCCTCCATTCCACCAAATTATACAATGCAATTCTACATGCTAATCTATCTTAACAAAAACATTCCACAATAATTTTTTACTTATCATGTTTCATAACATACATACAATATATCTCAATAATCAATTTAAAACAATTATCATAATACTAAACATAGAAATAGGATAATTCTCAATCTAAATTCATCAATAAATCATATAAAATTACTAATGATTAAGCAATCGATTCAAACAACATTCATGGATTCCTTATAATCATACAAGGTTTCACACACTCAAGTTGCTCCATTTAGAAGCCATAAAATTCACATAATCTTAAGAATTTAAAAATTCATCAAAAATAGAAATAACATTCAAATAATTCCAAATAAATTTCTAATTAACTTAGAAGTAAAGGGGCTTCTTCTCAATGTTATTTCAAGCAAAAATGAATTATAAAAATTATCCTACCCCTTGCCTTATGTTGTAACTTGGTGAAGAGCAACTCTTGATCAAATAATCTATCAAGTCTTTGGGTCTCCTCTTTACACCTCTAAGTAGCCTCTTACATTCAATTAAATACCCCAATTAAATCCTTAATTCCAACCATATTAGACCTCTAAAATCTCACCTCCATCATAGCTTAAAATTCTAAAATTCAAGACTATGTTTCTTTGAGTTATAAAATCATTTCTAGGGCTAAATTGATGCTAATGGAAGTAATACAAGTGGAAGAGAGTAATGGAAGTAGTACACTTAGAGTAGGAAGAATCCTAATAACAAATATGGACAAGGTTCAGTATTTCAGAATTTTCTAGAGTTATATAAGCTGTTTTGGCGTGAGGTCAGAGCTAAAATTTCAATAACTTAATTACCTACAATATTGATGAAGGAAATAAATTCAAATACCTTGTAGAATAAATGCAGTTTTTTCAGTTTACAGTGGTTGTTTCCAATATGGCTCAACTACAATAACACTCTGAACATGCCTTGGTAATTTGACTATAACTCATGCTACACATAAGTTATTGACATGAAACAAATTTCTAAATTTCGGGAATATAATTTTCTACAACTTTTATGAAGGAATCAAGTCCTAATTTCGTAGGTATCAATCCCAGTAATTCAAAAACCGAGGCTGTTGAAACAGGGCAATCTCTTAACTTCACAACTATAACACTTGGCAGTAAAATGGACATAACTTGAGCTACAATTATCCGTTTTATGTGAAACAAGTTTCTAAATTTCGATAACTTAAAGGGCTACAACTTTTATGGAGATACCAATTCCTAATTCTGTTCACACAAGTCCCAAAATTCAATGAATAGTGACCTACGAATTAGGGTGTTTAATGTTTTTAGCTTAATCACTTCTAATCCTCAATTCTAAGTATTATTCTAGTGTCCTAGGTGTAAAACCTACAATAACACTCTTTCTACTTCCATTCAAGCTTAGCCAAGTGAGGAAAAAAATTGAAAATGCACCGTTTTGAAAAATAAAACCGTAAAAATGTAGAGGAGATTGAGAGAAACAAACTTACCTCTTGGAGTTTCTCAAGAAAATCAATATTTCCCCCTCAAAATCAAACTTTAAAGTGAGGAGGGTTTGAGAGAAAGCGAGAAATGAGAGAAAGAAAGAATTTACTGGAAGTTACAGAGTGAATGACTTTTTAAAAGTCAAAATCTAATTTTTTAGATATATTATTATTTTATTATTATTTTTTTTATTCCGTAAAATTTATAGAAAATCATAAATAACCTAACAAACATAAAACTCTATAATCACTTTCCCCAATTCCTAATAATTTAATTAATAAAATTTTGACAAAAATTTTAGAGGTACTGAGAATTAGGATGTTATAGTTACTAATATGTCCCACGTCAGAAATCCACTCCAAACTTTAATCAAGTCAACTTGTAATCCCGGATGTTGGAGGTTTCAATTTGAGCCATAATTGGCCTCGAAAGCGATGGACAAAGCTGCAATTTTGGAGAAAGGGGCAAAGATGATATCAAAGTCTTGTTGTGATAACAAGAATCTTAGGTAGGTTTTGTATATGGTTGAATCAGGCTTGTAGTGTTTGGGGTGTCGAGTGGCTAACATGACACCTTCATTTGGATATGAGGGAATTAGTGTTGAGGTAACTTCGAGTGCTGGAAGACGGGATTTAAAAATGGATACGAACCAAAGTTGGATAAACCATAATAATCCAGAGTGGTTGCCACCAAGGTGATTAGATCGAAAGGCATTTACTGCTTCACCAAAAGTAGCATATACATGGGCTAACAACAATTTAGCCAAACATATGTTTGGTGACCCTCGATGCAGTAGGTAGGCTTGATTAAAGTAATGTTAAGAGATTTGGATTGATCGGGGGTAGACAACTGGTGTACATAACCAATACATAAGGAAGACAATGTACTCTTCATCAAAATAACAATATTGGGATCGTCGATGATGTGCTCTTGTAAGAAGCAACCATAAGCTTTCTTATTCCATTAGATTTTAGCCTCGAGCTCCTTGTCAACAGGAAAGCATTTATGTAATATTTTTCTCCAACAGGCTTAAGACCTATTATAGTAGCCACCTCGAGGAGAGTTGGAGTAAATAGGTGGCACGAAAGCTCCAAAGCAAAAAGATCTTTGTTCCAAAAGTTGTGTTGCCAAAAGGAATATCGACATATCAAAATAACCTATGTTGAATCGAGACAGGTAAAGTAAATCGAAGATGCCGATTTTCTTCCAATGTGCCTTAAACTTGAGACTGTACCTTATCAAGCCATTTAATGTAGGATGATTTCTTCTAGGGTGACCTAGAACTATAAACTTTGAATGATTAGGATATAAAATCTATTTTAAACTTCCCTTCTTTTTCTTGTAAAATAGATTTTCCTTCTTTAGATGAAAGAAAATTCTTAGGCTCATTTGGGTATATGATCAGAGGCCCCCCAAAGCCTTATGAGTACCTAGGTCGAGTAAATTTACTATGGTTCCTATTATAGGCCAAGAACCAGGACAAAGGTATTGTTGTTGATCTCATCAAACCGTAAAGAAATAGGGTTGAGGTTGGAAACTTGAGAAGTAACTAAGGAAGAGGCCATAATGCTTTGAATAGGCGAAGAAAGTTGGTGAGAATTGATTGCTTAACAGAGCTTAAAGGGAAGTAAGGATGCTTGGAAGTTTAGAAGACTAAGGATTAAGAGATTTTGAGAACGAATGTGAAGTAATGAAGAATATGAAATAATTTAAAGTTTAAAGAGGACGAATTCTCAATAAACCTAAATAGTAAATGGGTTTTTGTATTGGCTCATATCTAGCCATGCAATATTTTAACCTAATATTAAAAGTGGATGATAATAGAAGAGATAACATTTATTACGAGAATTTAGCATTTATGAGGGGAATAAGGTGCAATGATGAAAGCATGGGTGGTATAACTTTTAGTTGTATTGAAGCAAATTAAGAAATTGAAATATTATAATAATTTGTATTGCAATTGAAAATAAGAGAAATGTACATTCATCGATATTCATGTTACATTCTATTTGGCTTTGGGGACATTTTTGTTAGTAACAAATTTACAAATGTATTGAAAGGAATAAACTGAGAAGTATGGGATGTCTCGAGAAAAGAATGATAGTGGAAGAATGAAATTGAAGTTGATAAGGGTTGAATATTGAGACTAAAAGAGTAAGTTAAGAGGAAGAGAGCAATAAATTGGAATATATAGATCAAAAGTATAAGCTAAAATTAATGTTGATGATAAGGAAATGCTCGGAAGGTGCATATTATCGAGAGGAAAGATCGAGTTGAACAAATAAGAAGTCAATTGATGGTATGACACAATCAATTAAATATTTGGAATCGAAAAATTAAGAATGTCAAGTCAGGAGCTGCAAATTGAGAGAAACAAGATATGAAGAAGGAGATATGCAATTAAGAGATATGCAAAAATGGTTATGATTTTGATTACGTGACATGTGCGTTTATAGGTATTAAATTACAATAAAATGACTCAAGAAAATAGAAGAATAGTTAGGGGAAGTAACCGTTTGTTGATTTTATTTTATTTCTCGTATTTTATTTTACTTCATCTTATTTTATTTTTATTTTAAGTGTCTTGACGGTTACACAAGGAAAATATAAATAGAGTAAAATAAATATAAAAAAGGATAATTATAAAATTATAATTACATTTTGAAAAAACGTTACAAATACAGCGACAAACATTTTCAATAAAAATTTTTACAATTTGGATCGTTATTTTTATTGATTTTCTTTAATAATTTTTGTTTTATCCTTATTAATAAGTTATATTTATATTTTTATAGCTTATTTTCTTTGTACATTTATTTTTCAACAATTTACTTTTGTATTTCTATTTTCATAATTTACTTCAAATATTACAACTTATATTAAAAATCTAAATTATATATAAAAGATTATTAATTAAAATTTATCTTATTTTAATTATTAAATAATTAGTGTTAAGTATATCAAAATCCTCTAAATTTAAAAAATGTCTATCCTTATTAATAAAAAAAATCCACGTAATATTTGAATGTTTCATAATTTGATTAAGAAAACTAATAATCAAATCATAGAAAAAATAATTAAATATTTTTATATATAATTATAATAATTTTATAATTTATTTAATAAAAATATTTATTAATAATTTTTTTATATACTTAAAATATACATATAAAATATTTTATATAAAAAAATATTAACAAATTGTAGTTAGTCGAGACCAGTTTGTCGCTCCTCGTTTTTAGCATATTAGTGACGAAGTGGTAAAACTGGACTTCTTTATATTTTATCATCCTAAATATTTCAAAATTATGATATTTATGTAAAATTGAAAAAGTATTAGTCCAATTTAATAAAATCTTGTCCATGTTATCATAATTTTGAATATTTTAAAATTTATTATTAAATTAAAATTTATGTTTATATAAAAATATATAAAAAAGTTTACTTTAATTAAAACATATTAATTATTTTATTTATATAAATAAATATTGATATAATATATATTTCTTAAAACAATAAATATGAATCATTTAATTATTTATATTATTAAATTCTTTTTTACCAAATTTAATATAAATAATTATAACTATATTCAATTATAATTTAAAAGTTAAATTGACGAAATTAATATAGTGAATTAATCTCTAAAAGTTAGAATAATATAATTTTATCTTTATATTTTGCGCTATATTTATTTATTTTTTAATTATTTGGAAGGTATAATGTAGGTATTTTTCATATCTTATAATTTTTAATTATTTAAAAATATTATAACTCTAATTTTTGTTTAAAGAGATAATTATAAGTAAAAAATTTATAATTTCACAAAATTTTTCATATCTTATAATTTACATTTTAGTTTATGACAATGGAGAAAAAGAAAACAAAAAGAGAAAAACCCTCGATTTTTTTTTTCCTGATAACTTCCCCTGTCAATAAACGAACTACAGATAGAAAACCCCTCTTATTTACCTCTTACATTTTGTTCGGAGATAAATCGAAGTGGCTCAATTGTTTTTGTTCTCTTGGAACTCAACGGAACCTTCACTCTCTCTTTGTTGGGTCAGTTTGAATTACTCAAGCTATTTCATTCATTTTTCTTCTTTCTTGGATGTGATTTATATTTAGCATGAGAAAATTATCATTCGTTGTAGTATACCAATAATTGCTAGGTCTAGTAGTCGCACCCCATGTGTTTCTTCAATTGACGGGTATCTTAATTTAGATGTTTAGAGAATTCTAGCAAGCTCGTGAACAGCCCTATTCAACACCCAAACATGACTTCATGGAATCCCTCATTTTTAAGTGAACAAATTAGATGAATTCGACTATGCGATTGTAAAAATTTAAGTAGAAGTTGAACGCTTGGTCAAACATGGATCGACCCTTATGATGCTGGTGGCGCGTTTCAGTTGTGTGCTTCCTTTTATGAGCTAAGATTTGGTGTAAAGAGAATCTCTGATTTCATTTTTGTTAAATAGAGCAGCAAAGATTACAAGTGCAGGGAAGTCGCTATGGACCCGTCTATCATGAAGCTTCTAGAAGATGACGAGGTTGACACTGCTCTTCTTTCATAATTTTCTTTTAAGGAGAATAACTTTTGTCTTATCTTACCGAATTGGGGTTTGCTTATCCAACCTCTTTGTTTAAATGTTCACAGGATGAAACTATGCATTCAGGGGTGGATGTGGAAGCCTTCCAGGCTGCTCTAAATAGAGATATAGGAGGAGATGTGTCTGCTTCTCAGTTTTCTGGTTCAGATGCAGGTATCTGTCAATGTTATCTTCTGTTTAATACTGATCTCTCTCTTCCTCCCATTCTGGTAATACTCTGTTTTTTTATTTGTTTTGTGATTTCACAAGTGACAATAGCTGATATATTTGCTGTAGTGTTGTCTCAAGGAAGCAATAACACATCAAGTCAATCTATATCACAGTGGCCTACTTCTAACCATGACAACCAAACCGACTGTCAAAATCAAGAACCTAAAACTGCACAACAAGAGCAACATTCATCTGAGATGGAGCTGAAGCAACATGGATCACTTGGTGAACACCTACAGCATGTTGCTTCTCAGGACGTAAATAATTCTCATTCATCCCAGAAACAATCTCAAGATGAATGTCACCAAGCACCAGCTGTACAAGTTCCCCTCCATAATTCTCAACCTATCGGAATTCAGAATTCTGGAAAGGTACCAGTCCTTAATAATGAAGTAGTAAAGAGTCATAACCCCAGCAGTGAATCCCAGTATGCAAAGTTGCAGCAGATGAGTAATCAGCAGGCTACAGTCTCTGAGCAGCCAAGTAGCCAAGGAAATCGTAGTAAACAAGTACCATTTGGCCTGTTGCTACCCATCTTACTTCCTCAACTTGCCAAAGACAGAGCCATGCAACTTCAAACGTTATTTGCTAAATTGAAGGTAGGTTTCCCAAACCAGTCTAGCTAGCAGGTCCTTTGGCCCTCACCCTTTTTATGCCAAGTTTTAGTCTTTGTGATGATAGTATAGGACCATCTTGTGAACTTATATCACATGTTAGTATGCTACTAATTTTGTATTTCATCAATTTTTGTTTTCATTCTAGAAAGATGAAATACCGAAAGACAGCTTTGTGCGGCTTATGAAAGGTATCGTAGGGGACCAGATGCTTAGATTAGCATTAGCAGAAGTACAAATGCAACCACAGGTAGTAATAGAACATGGTTTGTATTGTGGGTGGTTTTTATTAATCTAGTTAAATATTGATGTCATGGTCATTCCAAAATTCATTTTTGATACTACTACAGGCAAGGCCCAATCAAGCATCTGCTGGGCAGCAGCTCCCTCTAAGGATGTCAACTGTTAGTTCAGGTGCAAGGCAATTGAATGATCCCCATGCTTTAGCACAGATGCATCAAAGAAGTATGAATGTTGCTGTTGACCAATCTCGCATGAGTTCTTCAGCTGGTCAAACTACAGAGAGCAATGCTAGAAAGCCTCAGGAATTCGATGTTAAAATAGAATCTCAAGGATTGCAATCAAATCAGTTGACATCTTCCAGTTCCAACACAGTTGGTCAAGAAGCAGAAAGAACATCAGTTCATATACAAGGGCTTAATAAACAGCGGCAACACCATCTACATTTTGCATCCGCATATGGAAACAGTGGTGGTAACTATAACCCTTTTTCTGGGACAACAAGTAGTTCCACATCATCTATCAAACAGCAAACGCATGAATCACATAATCAAATTCCTCATCAAAACATTGGTTCAAATCATTTAGGTGGGTCAGCACATGGTTTGAGTTTAATTGGTGTGCCAAAACTTGAACAGCAGAATTCTTTCAATGATCCCAAAAGACTGCCAGGTGGATCTGTTTCTCCTGCTGTAAACAATACAGCATCTCAGCAAACGTCAAATGCTTGGCAACCATCTACAAACAAAGAACAAAATCTGGGCTTAATGTCATCTGTTTCTTATGTCAAAAAGGAACCTACTGACTTGTCTACTGAGCAGCAAAATAGGCATAATTTGTCTAAATTGCATGGGTATTCTTCTGTTAATTCTGCTCAGCTTGAACAGAGTGGTGCTACTCAAGGAACTCTAAAAGATGAATTTTCGAGAGGTCTTCCAGCATCCACAAGCATGCCACCTACAACATCTACTGGCTTGCTAGCACATGGTTCTGCTTCCTCTTCTGTAATCACCCACCTAGACTCCAGTGTCTCGGTAAGTTGGAGACTGTTGTACATGATCTTGTCCAAAGATATAATGGTAAATTTTGCAGATCATGTAATGGGCAAATATGTTTTTGTTCTCATGGTCACAATGCATCTAGTATTATGTTATTCTGAATGTATATATGAAACGTCAGTTCTCTCAGCTCAGATATGTTTTCCAGAAATTTATTATATTAAAATGCTTTTAGCAAAGAACCCTTTTCGCCAATAGTTCTGGGAACACTTTTGCAATGAAGTTGCAAAAGATAGTAATCATTGTCTTTTATTTGGGATGGCTTATTTACTGTACTTTTAGATAGAACAAAGAATGCAAGAACTAATTTAAACAACTCTGAAATTCTTCATTGTCAATAAAAATAATAATAAAGCAGCAAGTTTCCAAGTTGAGGAATGAGACATTTTATCCCTCCTCACCAATTTATGCACCCCACTTCTCCCCATAAATATGTAATCCGAAGAACCAAGCTGGAAGTAAAGTGGGATATTAGCACCCATAAATGGAAAACCAAAAATCTCCTATTCATTAAGCAAAATTATTGATTAGAAAATGAGAATCCTGATTGAAATCATCTTCATTCTGTACTTTATGTGTAACCAGCTCACTCACACATCTATAAATATGTAGTGCCTCTATAAATGGTGAAGCTCTTGTCAGTTCCTCCTACAAAGGTCAAACTGTTTTTCAACTCTAAATGGCATCCATAAATTGAGAGTTTGACACAGGATGTACGAATGCAAAACAAACCAACTCTAAAAGATAAAATTGTCCTATTTTGTTTTAATTAACTATAATTGTGGGGCTGACTAATAATATTCTTTGTTATCATTACTAGATCTTCATATCTGAGATTTGTTAGGAATACTAAGCTGTTACTCAGTTAATTTCATTAGTTCCATCCTAGGGATGTTTTTATGTTCATTTGGTCTTAGGTTTATGTTCATGTCTTTTTCGTTATATGAAAGACACAAAACGATATTTTTGGAAGCTCTACTGTCTGTGCACATTTTAACACTAAAAATTATTCAAACTGAACTAAAGATGATCCCATGCTCTGCTTATTCATTTTTATCCTAGTTTACTCATTCCAGGCTCAAGCTAAAGTCATGAGCTACTTGATTCCACACAATGAGCTCAATTGGGTTAAGGCAATTGAACTCACAAAATTTAATGAGCCAAATGGGCTTTAGAAGGAGTTTCAGATTGCATATAACTCACTCAATATTGTTGAATATAAAGAAAATATAGTTTGGAATTAATTTCCCTTGTGTATAAATCACACATAGGGTGGTCTATTTATAGTAGAGAAATACAACTAAAAGAGTAACTGAAAGTAACAGAATAAACAGAAGATATTGTTTGATATTGTGGTTACCAATATCTAACAATATCTTAACAATATCAAATAATATATAAACAATATCTAACACTCCCCTCAAGTCGGAGCATACAAATCGTATGTGCCAAGCTTGTTACAAATATAATCAATTCTAGGACCCCGTAAAGATTTAGTAAAAATATCTCGCTAACTGATCACTTGAGTTAACAAACTCAGCCTTGATATCTCCGACATAATCTTTTCTCGAATAAAATGACAACTAATCTCAATGTGTTTGGTCCTCTCATGAAAGACAGGATTAGAACTAATATGAAGAAGCAACTCGATTGTCACACACAAGTGTCATTTGAGTGACATCTCCAAATTGTAACTCTCTAAGCAATTGCTTGAGCCAAACAAGTTCACGGAAGCCGAGGCCATAGCTCTATATTCTCGCTTCGCACCGGATCTTGCCACAACACTTTGTTTCTTACTTTTCCATGAAATCAAGTTACCACCAATGGAGACACAATATCCGGATGTAGATCTTCTATCCGAAGGAGATCCCGCCCAATCAAGCATCTCGAGTAGCAAACAACTCTTGTATGGTTATTAGAAGCATATAACAATCCTTTTCCAGGAGATCCTTTAATATACTTCAAGATACGAATGATCGCATTCCAATGATCTTCACATGGTGAATTAAGAAATTGACTTACCACACCGATCGCAAAGGAAATGTCGGACGAGTAACTCGTAAGATAATTCAATTTTCCAACCAATCTTCTATACTCGCTCAGATCGATATAGGCTCCCCCGATTTGGTAGAAGTTTAGTATTGGGATCCATGGGTGTATCAACAGTACTTTGAACTCATCAACCCAGCTTTCTTCCAAAATATCTATGGCATACTTCCTCCGAGATATAACAATACCATCATTGGACCGTGCTACCTCAATACCCAAGAAATATCTAAGTTTGCCAAGATCTTTGGTCTCGAAAATGGTGACAAAGATGTTGTTTCAACCGAGAGATGCCATGGTTGTCACTACCCGTAAGAACAATATCATCAACATATACTATCAAGTAAACACATCCAAGACTCGAGTGTCGATAAAAGACGTAATGATCCGATTCACACCGAGTCATACCAAATTGTTGAACAACCTTGCTAAACTTTCCAAACCAAGCCCTAGGAGACTGCTTTTAGGCCATATAGGGATTTGCGAAGACGACATACCATCCCGTAAGACTCCCCCGAGCAACAAACCCAGGAGGTTGCTCCATATATATTTCTTCTTGCAAATCACCATTGAGGAAAGCATTTTTAACATCCAGCTTGATAAAGAGGCCATTGTTGAAGAGCAGACCATGGCGATAAATAAACGAACGTAAGCCATCTTTGCCACAGGGGAAAAGGTATCTCCATAATCCAACCCAAAAATTTGAGTATAACCTTTGGCCACAAGACGAGCTTTGAGGCGATCAATAGTACCATCAGTCCAACTTTGATAGCAAACACCCACCCGCAACCAACAACAGATTTCCCAGACTGTAACGGGACCAATTCCCAAGTTCCACTATTATGAAGAGCACTTAGTTCATCTAACATGGCCTCGACGCCAACCAGGATGGGCTAAAGCTTCACAGTACGCTTTTGGAATGGTCACGGAAGAAATAGAGGAAAGACATGTATAAAAAGGTAATGACAATCGATGATAACTCAAAGCAATATAATGGGGAGAGGGATTACGTGTAGAACGAATACCTTTTCTGGAGGGCAATGGGAAGGTCGACTCATGTGTCGATCCGGAGGAGACAGAGTAGTTGGCACTTGAGTAGAGTCACATGGTGGTGGTTGTGATTGGTTTCGAGAACTATAAATCGAAGAGGCAAGTGGAGAAGAAGCTAATCATGGAGCGTAAACTAATGGTGAAGAAGACACAATTAGAGGGTCACAAACAACAGGAACATTAAATGTATTAGGAGTGTTGACAAGATTGGATGGAGACAGAGGTGAAGTTTGACTTTTAAAATAAAGAGACAACTCATCAAAGGTGACATCTTTTGACACAAAATAACGGTTAAGAGAAGGAGAAAAACATTTGTATCCTTTTTGTGATCTTGTAAACCCTAAGAAAACACATTTATGTGATCTAGGAGAAAGCTTGTCCGCACTCGAATTGAAATTATGAACAAAACATGTAGACCCGAAAACTTTCGGAGGTAAAGGATGAAGTGGTTCATGAGGGAATAAAATGGAATGAGGTATTTTATTATCTAAAACCGAAGAAGGCATGCGATTAATGAGATAACATGCAAGTAAGAAGAGCATCACCCCAAAAATGTTGAGGAACATCTCCATGAATTAAAAGTGTGCGAGTTGTTTCAATAAGATATCTATTTTTACGTTCAGCCTACACCATTTTGTTGAGGTGTATAAGCACAAGAAGTTTGATGCAAAATACCGTGAGAAGCCATGAATTGTTTAAAAGAATGAGAAAGATATTCACGGCCATTATCACTACGCAAAACTCTAATAGAAACACCGAACCGAGTTTGAATTTCATTAAAAAAAGTTTGAAAGATATGAAATAATTCGTAACGATTTTTCATCAAAAATAACCAAGTGCATCTCGGAATAATCATCAATGAAAGTAACAAAGTATTGAAAACCTAAAGTAGACTTAACGCGGCTAGGTCCCCAAATGTCGAGTGAACCACGGCAAAAGGGGACGAAGCACCACGTGTGAAACTACGAGGAAAGGAAGTACGACTATGCTTGCCTAATCGACATGACTCACACGCCAAACTAGATAAGTTAGACAAGGCAGGGACAAGTTTCGTAACTTGGCAAGGCTTGGATGACCTAACCGAGCATGAAGAAGAGAGGAGACTCCATAACCGTACTAACATGTGTAGAGGGACTGGAGATAATAAAGACCATGAGACTCACATCCCGTGCCAATCACCTGTTTCGAACTCCGGTCCCGTAAACACACGAATTGTTGGTAAAAGTAACAACACAATCAAGAGAACGAGTTAGACGACCGATGGACAACAAAGTTAAAAGGAGACCCAGGGACATAAAGAACATTATCAATGGTTAAAGAAGGAAAGAGTTTAACCGTTCCAACACCATGAGATGATACTCTAGAGCCATCACCAGAGGTAACGTAAGGTAAATGATTAGGAGAGGATAAAGAGGAGAACAAAGATTTGTTACCAAGTAATATGATCGATGGCTCCCGAATCAAAAACCCAAGGACCAGGAGAAAATGATTGGGTCGGACCAAGCAAAATATGTATTTGTATGTGTGACAGATATAGTGGAACTAGAAGACTGTTGATCCTTATACCATTCGAGAAATTTGTTGAACATAGCAGCACATGTCTGATGCAACGAAGAAGGAAGATCCCCTACGGATAAAGGTGGGGAAAGATTGGTCTCGAACAACTACAGCAGACCGAGGAGAACGACCATGTAATGTATAACACTTGTTAATCTTGTGACCTAGCTTGCCACAATGTTCACACTTAGGACGCCATTTTTCTCGCTTTGCGAGGGCGAGCCCTGGTCATCACGATGGGATGTCAACACAAAAGAATCGTTAACAAAATTGGAAATAGTGGAAGAAGTCATGAAGAGCGGGAGAACAAACCCCGACCGAGACAAGCAAAATCATATGTCACCGGTAAAAAAAATGAAACTCCGGCGAATTCTCCGACAGCGCGGACCCAATGGATCGCTCCAACGGCAAGCGGTGACGTGTAACGTGAACTAGTACACTAGGTAAGTTCCCGGAAAGAGAGGTGGGTCACTAATGGACACACTTAAATACCAAGTCTTTCCTTGCCGTAACTTTCCTAAACATGCACTTTCACACTACCAAATAAAATTCAATGACAAAGATAATTCTTTTCCGAAGTGGAGGATCAGCTTACCAGCAACGTGGGCGCTCTAGCAATGGGGCGGCTCCAACAAGTGGACAAAAGGCGGAAAAAAATTCAAGATAACCTTAAGCTCTAGATACCATGTTGAATATAAAGAAAATATAGTTTGGAATTAATTTCCTTGTGTATAAATCACACATAGGGTGGTCTATTTATAGTAGAGAAATACAACTAAAAGAGTAACTCGAAAGTAACAGAATAAACAGAAGATATTGTTTGATATTGTGGTTACCAATATCTAACAATATCTTAACAATATCAAATAATATATAAACAATATCTAACAAATATATTTAATATACTACTGTAATGCAACCAACAACACTCATGAATAAAAAATTATTAGTTAATGCTTTGTGAATCATTTATGTACTTTTCCCAATGATTTGAGATTTTGTGTGACATGGTATCAAATCATGTATGACCAAGTCGTCCTGAGTTTGATCAGTTGTGTCCGTAGTCTTTTAAATAAGAAGGCTAAATTTTAGCGCAAGGTATAATGCTTGAGCATTATTAACGTGTCAAGCATGGAAACTTTTACATGAGGGGTCATTTAGATATAAAGCCATTCATGTACTTTTACATAACAACTTAAGCTTTGTCGATAGTTGGTTTATGGAAAATAATTTATTTGATAAATATATATGTTCTGAAGATGATGTTATGTCAGTTCATGAGCAAATGAGTCGGGCAATAAGCGGCTTATGCTTAGATCATATTTTAAACTAACCATATATTTTACCTCATGCTCCATTCATTAGATCCTAAGGTTAACGTATTGAACTAAATCTGAGTTGAATCATGAGCTGCATGTAAGTGGATAGGTTCATTGTAATCCTTGATTGCTTTAATTTGCACTGTTAGACCCATCAGCTTCGATTTCCAATTTTACCAGCGTTGAGGTTTAACTCTTTAGGCAATTGAATGCAAAATATCTCACCTCAACATATAGGGTGTGTTAGAAACCTTTGATTCACTGGTTTTCTTATGCAAGTTTATGAGGTATCTCACAGATGTATTGAACATTGCAATTGAGAATAACTTGGATATAATGTCTGTGTTTGTTTTTTCTTTTGATGTCCTTGTGCTCCCAATTTGTCTGTTTAGCAGAATCTATTATTGGGAAATACTAACTTGGTCATGCTTTCTCTATGCATTTTTTTTAATTTAAATACCCAGATATTATTTTTGCGCAGAGCATACCCCATGTTCATAAATTTGTCTTCAAATTTGTTGACTCTTAATTTCCTAAGCCCACTTCTGAAATTGATCAGCTAAGCTCTCAGATCCAATCAAATGCTTCTGGAATTGTTGCAAGGACACCTCTTAAAAAGTCTGCTGTTACCCAAAAGAAACCACTTGAAGCACTTGGTTCCTCACCTCCTCCTCCTAGGTCCATGTCTTACTCTACCGAATCATTCATGAATGACTTATTTTATGGGTTAATTTCTTAAATTCTAAATAATTTCAATATATTCATTATGTTCCTTTGCCCTACAGTAAAAAACAAAAAACTTCTGGGGGATACGTGGAACAAAGCATTGAACAACTTAATGATGTTACTGCTGTTAGTGGAGTTGACCTCAGGGTATGATACTACGTCAATGTTCAACTAAATCCGATAGTCAATAAGTAGGGAATGATGACTCCCTGACTTCTAATGTTTCTTTTACAGGAAGAGGAAGAACAGTTATTTTCAGGGCCCAAAGAGGATAGTCGAGTGTCAGAAGCTTCTCGAAAGGCTGTGCAAGAAGAAGAGGAAAGGCTGATCTTGCAGAAAGCTCTATTGCAAAAAAAATTAATTGACATCAGTTAGAGTCCAACCTGTGTCATACCTCTGTCCATATGTTTTAGTTCTTTCATTTTTAGCTGGATCTTGATATGTGATAAAACCTTATGGCTACTTTATGTTGTCACTGTGGCAGTGTCCAAGTGTGGCTTGAAGGGTATGGGCAATGATGTGGAGAAATGCTTGTCACTGGTGAGTCTCAAGAAATGTTTGACTTTACCGTGCAATTGGTTTACATGTAATCTTATGACTGAGTAAATGTTCAGAGTGTGGAGGAAAGGATGCGTGGACTGATAAGTAACCTGATTAGAATATCAAAGCAGGTCAGTTGTTTTCTCTAGCTGCTTGCACAAATAGTCTTTCATAATTGTATAAAACTTTGTACTTACAAAAATGTTTATACTAGAGGGTTGATTTTGAGAAAACAAGACATCGGACTGTTGTCACTTCTGATGTTCGGCAGCAAATCATGACAATAAATAGAAAAGTAAGGGAAGAGTGGGAGAAAAAACAGGCAGAAGCAGAGAAGCTTCGGAGACTAAATGATGTAAGTTCCAAATATTGGAATTTGGTTGAGTTACCGCAAGATAAAATCTTTTTTCATGCACATTTCCCTTCATGTGCATCTTTTGTATATTTGCAGTTGTAACTTGTGCGTATCATTTAAATTGCTATTTCTAAATATAGGTTGACAGCAATACTGGTGTTGATGGTGACAAGGAGAGGGATGATGGCCGTGCTAAATCAACAAAGGTATTTATATCTCATTCGTATACTTCATCTTTATCAACATTGGAAATCTATTTGATTTATTTTATGCTACAGGTGAACAAGGAAGAGGATGACAAGATGAGGACAAATGCTGCAAATGTTGCTGCTCGTGCTGCTTATGGGGGAGATGACATGCTGTCAAAGTGGCAACTTATGGCTGAGCAAGCCAAGCAGAAACGTGAAGGGGGAGTGGACGGGTCATCTGGTTCTCAACCAGCTAAAGATGTGAATCGCAAATCTTCATCAACATCTGAAAGAAGTACAAAGGAAAACCAAGAAGGGGAGAAAAGAGGTTCAACCCCTTTTATAGCAAGTTCAGGTGAGTTTGTTTTGAGCTGTTCCCATTGTCAATTTTTTTAATTGCAAGATAGGAATCAATTTTAATCATTCAAGACTCACATGCTGTTTCTTAATATATGGATTAAAAAAATTTAGAATAGAAGGAACTGGATTCTGTCATTGTCAGAAAACTTGAATGGTTTGCCTAATATTCTATACTTTTAGTTGTGAATGTTTTGATAAACTTAAATGTACAGAGTATCCTATTCTGTCCACTTATTTGGGGCTGAAGGGTTTCAGATTCTCCTGTTGTACAGTGTAGTATACTAAAAGATTTATGTTGCCAACAAAATGGCTTCAAGTAACTTTATGTTCCAGAGATGCTATGTTGGTTTGAATAAATTAAATTGGTCCTTTTTTAATTGGTTTTGTGCCACTTTTCTATGTTGTTTCTCCCTTTTGATTCTTCTAACAGTGGCCAGAAAACTTGGAAAGAGTCATGCCATGGCCCCTCAAACTAGGGTAGCTCGAAGCATCTCTGTCAAGGATGTGATAGCAGTCCTGGAGAGGGAGCCCCAGATGTCTAAATCTCCACTCATACATCGTTTGTACGAGAAAATTCACTCTGATGCCCCAGTTGAACAAGGTTAAACGAAGTAGCTAGGAGATCTGGTTTATTTTTAATTTTGTCCGAGCTTGTTAAGTTATTATCATCTTGCCTACGAAAATTGCAAGGTTTCCTCAAGTTAAAATTTACTGGTTTGACTTGTACTTTATATAACCCAGATAGTTTACCTGTTAAATTTAATTTTTCTCACGTATCCATGATCTCCTTGTGAGAGGTTTGCCAAGTCTTCGGTTCCATTGTGTGTATTCTTTTGTATATTCATTTGGTAAAGTTGGAAATTTATGGAATTAAGCGGAAATCTCTCACTGGGCAGGCTTTTATCTACAGTGATGCTACTAACACAGCAGCACACCTAACATCTAACACCTAAACTAATATTGAGCCGAGATGCAGTAGTGTACACAATACATTGGTAAGTGCGGGCCATTGAAATTCTTTAGCAGGTCTTTAAAGTCCCAACATCCATGCATGTGGAACGCTTTCACTTACAGCGGCTTAACTTTTCGAATATTCAAAATGCCATTCTGACATAATAAATTGTGAAAAATCGAACTTGAATGGTCAGAAGTTATGTCCTGCTTATTAATCCGGATAGCTCAAGGGGGGAATTCTAAATGTTATTTTAATCTCAAATTTTTAAACGTGGATATATATGGTGGTAGTGTTGTAGGTTTGAGCTTAGTAAGATTTTAGAAGTGTGATCAGAGAGAGTAAATCGCGGATTTGGTTAACGCCATCCCTGTAAACTGTTGTACCAGAATTGTTGGCTATTTTATAGTTCAAATTTTTGCGTTAGTTTCTCATTTAGCAAATTTGGTAAGTGTTTTAAATCAGTTTATAATTTATGTATTAACATCCAATACAATAAACTTCCGTATTTGATAAACGGCTAGAAAATAATAACTTTATAAAATGATCTCTTTTAGATCTCATCATCGCATTTCTTTTTATGGCGTTTGGTGCTTGAAAATGCAATGTTCACGTAAAAGTGATGGATTAACTTTTTCAGGATTGAAAATATTTAGATACTTCTCAAATATGATCAATTAAAAATATACTCTTTGATCAATATGAAGATACAAACATGTGGTAAGATTAAAAGGCATCCAAACATGTGATGATTGTGATGAAATAAGAATGACGCGTGTGGGGTGTTCGAGTTGGATAACGATCATGGCAGCGATTGATGAGTCAGCATAATCGACGTGGTCACGGATATACACCTTTTTGCGCTTTTCTGTCACACACGTCGGTGACCCGTTCACCGTTGTCTCCGCAACAACGGGACCCACACTTGCCATCCCAAACCCATAAAACATAAAAAAAAAAAAAAAAATTGCTGTTGGTGAATTGTATATTGTTGAAATTGAAATTTGAGTAGCAAGGCATAAAGTAAAATAATCGCAGAATATGCTTTGCTCTGTTACACAAATTATCCTTTCCTTTTTTTTCTTGCTCTTCAGTTCGTTCAGTTCCTTCCTTGTTATCATTTCCTTCCTAAATTCTCTCATCAAAACAACCACCTTTTTTATCCCGATCCTAATCCTTTACTTAATTCAACCCTCACTAACCAACTTGTTCAGCGTTCTGTGATATTTCCACTAGAAAGATCCAAAAGGAGAAAATTGTCATGGAGCTTCTAACCGTCGTGGATGATTTTTTTGTCACGGCGTCTCTGGCGCTTCTTCTCAGTTTCATCGTCTTCAAGCTCGTCGAGGCCATCAACGACACTCACGCCACTCCAAAACATCACGTCGGTCCCGAATCGGTTCCTCCGGTTTCTCATGCGGAACGCTTCATGGTTCAGCCCGCTCAAAGCAAGAGCAAGGTCGGTTTTATAAGTCCGGTTCACGCTGTATCCGACAAGATAGAAAAGGCCACGGTCGAACCGGTTCCTCGTGGGAAACTGTTGACGGTTCAGCCGGCTCAGTGTAAGAGTGTAGATATCGAATGTGAAGGGCCTGCGGTCGAACCGGTTCGACCGGCTCATCCAGCTGAGATCAAGGACAATATCTGTTTTATTAGTCCGGTTCAAGGTGCCACGTGTGCAGTTATTGAACACATAGAAGAGGCTATGGTCGAACCGGTTCCTTCAACTGACAGCAGGATTTTAAGTGCGGTTCAAGCTGCCACGTGTGTAGGAAGCGAACACAAGATAGAAGAGGCTATGGTGGAATCCGATTCCAACGTTATTCTCCAGTCTCCGGTGAAATCACGCACAGACATTGCCGTTAAAGAGGAAATCGCTGAGGCCAATGACGAAACAACACAAGAGCTTGATGGGAAGAGGGAAGTGGAAATTCTTGAAGATCCTTTTTGCACTGAAATTGAAGTTTCTGTTGTAGAAAACGGCGTAAAAGAGAATGATTACAATGGCGATGATGATTGGGAAGGGATTAATTGGAGCGAGTTGGAGAAAGAGTTTATGGCGGCTACGGAATTTGTTACTAACGAGGGTGGTCGATTGGAGAGTGTTGGAAGCAACGTGAAAATGGAGTTGTATGGGCTTCACAAGGTTGCGACTGAAGGGCCTTGCCGTGAACCTCAGCCAATGCCTCTCAAGCTCTCCGCACGTGCCAAGTGGTATCAAATTTCAACTTACGCAACTCGTTTTTTTTTTTTACTCAGTGTTGCCATTTAATGCTTCGTGTGATATTGTTCTGCCTTGTTTGTCGAATTGCCTGACTTGTTTGCCTTGTTCTTTACTCTACTTGGGTGTTTTTTTTAAGCAATAGTTAGGATTTTTTTTTTAATCTAACTTATGCCAAGTATGTTTAAACGACTGTATAAATAAAGGATAACTGGTTTATGTTTGAACATTATGGGTAAAAAATAAGTAATTGGAAAAAAAGTTTCACTAGCTAATTTTTTTTTTTTTAGATTATTTTCGGCGGCTTTCTCATCAATAACAATTAACAACATAATGATTGGTGCAATTAAGAAATTGTATCAATTATCTTGAAGTACAAAAAAATTATACTTAGATTTTAAATAACTTGACAGAATTATTCTTGGATTGAGATATAACTTTTAGACTTGCCGATATTAGGTATAGAATTGGTTTTTTATGTTAAGAAGACACCTGGCCCGTTTTTCATTTTTGTACATCAAGATGTTTTTGAGTCGAAAGGAAGATAATAATTCTTTCTACTTCTTGGAAATTACCTAATACGGTGGAATTGTCTATATATATAGAGATAGATAGATATATTAAAGTGTTCTATTAATGTATACACTGACGAACGTTATTTAAAAATGGGAGTAGATCCAAATTCCCTTATTGATGAGCTTGGAATATGGATTTGAATCACTCCCTCAAAGTACAAGAAACAAAACCCAAGTTGTGTTCCTCCAAAAATAGGACTTAGATTGTGATGTTCTCAGCAAAAGTAAACACAGTGGTTCTCATCAAGACCGAACACTCACGAAATTTTGAGAGATAATGAACCAATCATTGAAATGAATGGTAAGACAATCTATGTCATGCTAATATTTGGATGGATGGATGGATGGAAAGAAATGAGATGAAATGGAATGGAGTGAAATAGAATACATTAGAATAAAACTTTCATGTCATACTTCGGATAGATTGTAATGGAACAGAATAAATTTCTCACTTCATCTTATTCTTCCCAAGAAAAAATGAAATCAAATAATGGAATAAGATGGATTAGATTACGAATTTAAATAATGAAATATAGTACCATTAGGTCAGTTACAATTCCGTTTCCTCCAATCATCTTCTTTCATCAATTTGATATAGCCTAAAAGATGTAAGAATTATCTTTCAAGAGGGAAGGAAAAATGTGTCAGAATCTAACATGGTAATTAAACCAATATAAATAACACATGCGGCCGTGTTGTACAAGTTACACGGTATAGCTTGATTGCTAGTTATAATAACAGGGTTGACAGCTGCTTTGTATGAGTGATCGACAGTACTGATTCCGTTGTGCAAGGAATGCTTGGCAAAAGATGGGGAACATGAATCCAGAGGTCGCAATGGAGCAGTATATAAGCCTTCTTTCGGATAAATTTCCTGAATGGATGAAAGATACTACAACTGTGAGTTTGTGCTGTTGAGGCGTATTATATTTTAATATCTTAGTTCATAAGAGCAATATAATTGAAAAAAACCCTTTTGCAGGGAATGAGTGAACATGAACCCACAAAGGCTGAAGTTTCTGAGTCTGCTGCTTCTGATTTGATCACAACTTTGTCTTATCAACAAAGGATCTTTAGTGATAGGTAGTTGATAATCTTATTTTAATACTTTTTGTTATTCATATCTCTGATTTTATTCACTTTATGGTTTTGTTCATATATCTGATTTTATGATGGTTTCATTTCATTTCTCTTTCAGTGAACTTGAACAATCTTCTGATTCGAAGAAGCGTAGCCCTCTTTCAGAGTCAGATTTAAAGAACAATGTAAGATTTTAAAATCATTCACATTTCTACATTGACTTATAATTAATATTAGCTTAGATAAAATTTTAAAATCATTCAGACTTGGACACGTTATTTTTATTCTGTCAAAAAATTTAGTTACGACACTTTCACTAAAATGAGGACTCAGCAAGTAATCACACACATATAGAAAGTAATCACACAAAATTAGGAAAATTTAACAAAGCAAATTAGTTGGAGACTGATGTTCATCTTGTAAATGTGGGGTATCATTGTATGATTTACGTGTCACGTACTGTGTCATTCTTTGGTTCCTGCCTGAGTTAGTTTTCAAAAACAACTAGAATTTGGCATACCGATGGAGTGGGATCGACTCTTCTCTGCTTTTCAGTAATTTTAATTTACTTATTCCGTTTTAAACAAATTATATATTAAACTATTAATTATATTTTATATAAAAATTAACATATTACAAAAAATTTAAACTAAAAAATAAGAATTAAATTATATATATATATATATATATATATATATATATTCCTTTCTTATAATAAAAAAATTTAAAGAAAAATATATAATGGTTTATTCTTTGTTAAACTTATACTAGAATAAATTATTAAACTTAAAATTATTTTTAACAACATCTTAATGCATGCATTAATGATACTAAATATAATTATATCCTAATAGTGTTTAGTAGTGTTTTGTTCCTTTCTTTTATTTTTAATAATGTTGCTTTAAAATTTTTGCATGCCAATCACCATCTTCTCTTTTGAATATGTGATGGTCAGAATTATTTCAATAATTGAAATTCTTGAATATTTTTCAGGTTAACGAATGATAGTATTTCTGTGCTAATTTCCCTCAAAAGGAGACTGTTTTCACATGGACTGTTTGTTTTCTCCTTTCTCTTTTTTTATTATTATTTATTGTTCATGATACGTTCTTCGTTATCAAGTTGTTAATAATATTTTGTACATAAATAATTGTGTGTCTAGGATCATAGTTGTTAAAAACTGATTTATTATGAGAATGTTACTCTTCTAGATATTGTTATGCTATTTGTTGCAAGGTTCATTACTAGTCATAGGTAACCATGGTGGCATGATCTATGATTAGAGAAACAGTAATAAACAGACTTGGTGCCTTTTTATTCCTTAAAAAAATATTTTCAAAATTAGTTTTAGTTTGTAGATTTTTATTCTTTTTTTTTTTTTCACAATGATTAAAGAAACAGTAAAAACTGATTTGGTGCCTTTGTATTGTTTAAAATATTTTCAAAATTAGTTGTAGTTTATATATTTTTATTTTTACACAGTCTTTTATTTTCATGAATATTAGAGTATGTAAGACTTTGTAAGAATCAAAATAAACAATGAATTTTTTTAAATAATAAACAAATAAGAGGATCTGGAATTTAGTTTTTTTTTTTTTTTTTTTTTTTTGTATTTTGTAACTAACTATATAAGGGTTTTTGTATTTTGTAACTATGTATTAGAAGTTCCTAAGGGATATGAAAATATCTGGAGTTAGGATGAAAATAAAATGGTATTAATATAAAATGACGAAAATAATTTATGACAACAACTTTCTATAAAAACATTTAAAACCGTCAGTCATATGCTTTATATGATACATAATATTACTAAATTCATATATTTTAATGTTGAATTTATAGGTAGATTGAATATTTTTAATTGGCATGATTTAAAGGTACTAATATAATTTTAATTTTTTTATAATTTTTATTTTTAAATTAATTGGATTGAAATATCATAATTATGAATAAATAAAATATTAAGAAAGGATGATAATAAGTATGAGAAATAATGATATTTATAATAAAAAATTAAAATAAAATTAATGAGAATTAATTAGACATTTATTTATGATATAATTCCGATGGATTAATACAATTTTAAATTTTTTATTTATTTTTATCATGAACATTATTATTTTCCTTTATGATAATGTGAGAGTTTTTTCGTCTACCCATATTTATATATTTCAGTCCACTTAATTTAAAAATAAAAATTATAAAGAAAAACTTAAAATTATATTTACTCGTCTAAATCCTTGAAGAATTTATATGTTAGAATCCATACTTAACATATATTATAGAGGTCAATAATTATCTCAACTAATAATAGAGGGCTAGTCCATCACCTTCTTGACGTTATCCTCAATAATCTCCAAAAGTTGTTTCTCAACTACCCAGAGTTAAGCCTCACACTTACCTAGCTCCTCCTGGAGCTTCCCTACCTTAGCCTCGGAAGTGAAAACTTATTCAACAACTCGGATCTCCACTGTCTTCTTAGTTCGTTCTTCCAAGGCCAAGTTCTTTTTGTTGACCTAAACTAAGTCACCAAGGCTTGATTCTCCTTGGCCTTAGCAAAAATGCATACTTCATGATTGACTAAAGTCTTCAACGACGGGCCTTGTTATTTCTTTGAGATCAACATCTCTCTCACTTTGACCTTCTCATGGATGGGTGTTTGAAACATTGTTCGTTTAGTAGTGGACCATCGTCATGCACCTAGTCATTAACATCTTGGTGGAGTCCAAGTAGCCCAAGATCCCCACTATCTTGAACACCCTAACATTGAGAAGGTAGGGGAAGCCATCCTTGGCCTTCATCCCCTAACAATCATGATGACATCGTAGAGAGTCCATATTGAGAGTATTGATTGAGAATATGGGACCTTTTGCCTCTTGAAGAAGGTAAGAAAGTGGTGGCGAAGGAGCCTCATGTGGAAGGTCGGGGAGAATGAGGTGGAGAAGGCAGCTTGAGAACCCAATTTGATAGTTATCGATCAACTTGGTTCCTGGGAGGATGAAGCTATTTGAAAACAATCTTAGTCTTTGGAGGATAGTTAACCCCCTCTATAGCACGCACGAACCATAGGACCCATTAAGGAAGCAAGTTTATCTTAGGTTTTCTTGTAATTTAACTTAGGACCCATGATCTATGAAAATAAAATTAAATAATGTGCATAAAACTGCAAACATAAAAAAAAAATCAGACCACATCAAAGAAAACCTTTACCCAAGAACAAAGCTCTTGAATCCTCAAGATAAGGGATTGACAAAAGATCCCTACTACTTATGGGACAAGAAAGACTAGACATTGTCTTGATGTCCTCTGAAGTTAGCAAGTACTCAACATGAGATTTGAACTTATGAGATTTGAACAAATGAAAGCCAAGGTAAGGTCAAATTTTAGAAAAAAGCATGTGAGGTCATATGGGACACACTTTATTTTAAAGAAACTGTTTTCAAAGTTTTTGAATACTGGTGTAATGACATAGTTTTTATTTTATAAATATAAATATATATTTAGCTGTTTGGAAAACTATATAAATAGAAGGCTAGGTTGAATAATTTTTATAAACATTCATTTTTCTAGAATAAAACACTCTAAGATCTCTCTAATTTAAAGTACTAAAACTCTAAGATATCTCTAATTTTAAGTACAAAACTTTGAATGAATAAGTAATTTCCTCTACTTTGTAATTTTGGTTATTTTTGGATTTAAAACGAAAATATAAATAACAAGATATATCATTGTTATGTGGGGTGTTGTCCATGTTTTAGAAATAGAATATTGATGGTGAGTTGCACATACATATAAAGAAGCTAAGATTTAAGAATATCCAAGTAAATGAGAGTTGATTATTTAAGTAATAGTATGTCTAGAAAGAATTTGATAAAAAGTAATATTTATCACTTAAAATAATTTGATAAAAATTCTATAAATAGAACAATCATATTTTACAGATACGTATTATTTTATATTTTCATTCTCAATATATATATTTATTTCATTCTTGATACTTATTTAAACATAATGTGCTATCACCCTTTTATCTTCATTATTCAAAGCTTGATAGAGGATATTTAGAGAGAAGTTGCCTAAATCAATTTATTCTATAGTCATTTTATTACTTTACTTTATATATATATATATATATATATATATATATATGTAAATTTTAAAAAATGTAATAAACCAAATATAAAAAACTGTATGAATGTAAATTATAAATAGCATCAAAATACAGTAAAAATTAAACTGCAAATAAAATTAAAATAAATGATTGAGGTGGTAAGATAACTAAAAATAAATAAAAAGAAATATAAACTTAAAAAAAAAAAACAATCAAACCTAAAATAGGTAAAGGATTTTGAGTGATGAAGAATATTAATATAATTTGAAAATTAAAAGATAAACAAAATCACCATAGAAACAAATAAAAAGTTAACGGTGTTGATAATATTACAATTCATATATACAATCAACAATGACAAATATTAGTAGAATAATAAACATTAATATTTAATTAGTATAATAGATTATAAATGGACGCATTAGATATAAACTAATTATTTCTGAAAAATTAAACGATGAAAATATTATTTTTACATTATATATTATCAAAATATTTTTTTAAAATAATTTTATATGTTAAATATTTTAAATATATAAATTATTAATTATTAATGAGAATCAAAAAATGTGTTTATAAACCTTTTAATATTTTATTTCACAAAATTAAAATTTTAAATAACTTTAAATAATTATAACTAATTCATAAATATCATAAAATATATATACATCACCTTCTATCTTCATCATAATATTTTATATTTGTTTGTCCAACAAACTTCACACCACACCTTTCTGTCACGTCGAACTCTCTTGTCTTAATTTTACTTTTCAAGTTTTAAGAGAGGAAAATACTGCATAATAACAGAACATGCAACGTTAATGTATGTGAACTGTGTAAGGGTCGTTATGCATAGCTTCTGTCCATATCATATCTTAAGAAAAATAGTGTTTAGTTCATATATTATAATCCATGCAGTTAAGCTTTGTTGGATGTCAATTCCACTAAGAACAAGGTCCCTCCTAAACGTAACTATGTCAACAACACAAGACGGTTTCTATTAATGTTTCAGAATGGTTTTTGTCCATTTTCTTTTGTGTGGGAATGTGACGTATTAGCTACCATATATATACACATTTTCAGATCTTAATATTACACTTATTTTACCCATTTTATATTTTTCTGATACGAGTTATATTATTTTTCATAAATAATATTAGTTTTTGGATGCATTTAAAAAATATTGATAAATTCAATAGTGTTTTTTTTTTTCGGAAAGTGCAGAATGATGTGAAAATGATTGGAAAGTCATGTAAATTATTATGATTTAGTTTAATACATATTATGTGTGTGGGGTTTATCTTCAACTTTATACTTATATTATGTAATTTCTGTTTTCCTAGTCATCCTAATAATCAATATATAACTTGTTTAGCTTGGATTATTTATATATCAATTAATAAAAAATCATATTTAATTTAAATAATGTAATTAAAATTGTGATTGAAATTTTACATGGAATTATGATCTTAATTTTATTATTTATTATTTAATCATGAACGGGATTTTTTTATACATATTATAGCTGTATAATAATCACATAAAATATTAATATAATAATAATATATGTTATTAAAAAATAATAGAAAATGGAAAAGTTAAAATAATAAAAAAAGAGAAATAGACTAGCTAATGAGATTATTTAAATTAAAATTAATATAAAATTTTTGAAAAATAATTATCAATATATATTTAATGTTGATAATTTTATTTGTTATCAATATTTTTTTATTTATGATTAATAATTTTATATTATTAATGTTATTGTTTTTAATAATTTATAATTTTTAAAAATATCTTATAATCAATTATAAATTTTTTACAATCGATTATGAGAATGTTTTTAATTACTAAAATACGTTAAACGAATAATATAATGAATTATGGAATTAACATGTTTATTTGTATTGTGTTATGAGTGGCATGATTGGTTGAACAGTGAATTCTCCAACTCAATTTTCCTATTTTTATTTAAATTTATTGAAATAAACTCATCTGAAAAATATATCTATATGCCATAAAATGTAAAGTTTTAAGGAAAGATCATAAATTCAATCAACCATTTATTATACAAAATGCTTTTTATTACATCCACTATTTATTTGTTCAATCACCTCACCGTCAAGGTTTATGATTGTGACTGGTTCAACAACTATTGACCATTTATAAAGAGATATGAAAACATGGGAGGAAGGTCTATGCATTCACATCATTCTCATTCATCAATTGTTGATTTTTTAACGATGCAAACCCCCAACAAATCCAGCCTGGTAAGTATGATTTGACTCAATAAGCTGTGTATGATTTTCTTGTTTATTAAAAATAATGTATTTTTCAACGATTCTAATTTAAATTGAATAAAATATTATAAGAATTAAAATGAACAAATACATTTAAAAAAAAATAGCAAGGATAAAAATCATGGTAAAGAAATTTATATAGAGTAAATATTAAAAAAACATAAGAATTAATATTATATTAATTTCGAAGATAAAAACATATTTAAATCTAAAGTAGTAACAAATGCACTTATATGGTAGGATACCGTGGCATTTTCTATCTTGTGGCCTTTTCTATGTTGTGTTCTAATTAAGAAAACTGAAAATGATTTTTTATTAAAAAAAATGTAACCTAATTTCTAGTAAATAAAAAAAAACATTTTACTTTTGATTAATATTTTATGAGACATTATTGGTACGAATTGTTTTGTGGTGTGATTTGGGACCCAAAGGTGTTATTACTTGAGTGAAACTTTGGAATGAATTAGTAACAGAGGGATGGATGAGTAGAATATGATTTACATAGCAATTATTGATTGATGAAGTGGCTGAGGAGAGAAAAGTGTGAGATTGTTAAATGAAAAGATTAAGTGTGGATAGGAGTTGCTTAACCTACGTGGTTAGCATTAATAAGAGGTAGGTCCTCTCCAGCTAATTGCTTCACTAAAGAACAACATTACAAGTTGAAGAAACTATCTCTCATACGTCTCTACTCTAAATTATTATACAACTTTCTTCTTTCTCTAATTAACGAACAATCCATTTTCTTCTCTAAACTAAGAAGTTTCGTAAACCACTTGTAATTTTAATTTTAAAAAATCTTAAATTATTAATATTTTTACTTTTTTTTTATAAAATATTAACTTTTTTTCTAATAAACTGTATCAAATGTTTATATTTTTACAGTAAAAAAATATATTTATTGAGAATATTATAAGATAATAAATTATGAAGATGAAAAAAATAAGTTTTTATACTTTATTTATAGAGTACATGATTCTTTATTATTATTATTATTATTATTATTATTATTATTAATATTATTATTATAATAATAATATAAATTAATTTTAAAAAAATGTTTAGCTGATTTGAAAATTTAATAAAAAAATGACTAAATTGATTTAATTTTGTTAAATATTAATCTCATTAAAATAAAATTTTCTAAGTTCTTTTTAAGAAATAATTGTTGAAATGTTATTGAAACTCAGGTCTATAAGTGGTACGAAGAAGCTTAAGGTGGAAGGAGTTGAACTATTTATCATAATTTAAAGCGGTTAAGCTACACTTTTAAACATTTCCTTACATATTTCTAAGTGAAAATGGAGAGAAATTAATTAGTAATTCCTATTGTTCTAATAATGTAGCAACAATGTTTTTAAAATTAGACTAATATGAAAAAAATATGGCTCAATATTTAAAGATTTAATTAGGATTTTAATCAAGATTTAATAAAGTAAGATTTTTAATTTACAAAAGATATAGTAAAAATATATTACAAAATTATTATCATAATAACCATAAGTTTTAATAAAAGTTACAAATATAAAATACATTAAAGAAT